CACATCCACTGCCTGGAGTCCATTCTGACCTACAGGGGCCCTAGAGGACAGAGGGGAACTGCCCACAGGGTCTCCAAGGCTGTCATCTTTATGGAAGCAAAGCCCAAACCACACCCACTGCCTGGAGTCCATTCTGACCCACAGCGCCCCTAGAGGACAGAGGGGAACAGCCCCACAGAGTCTCCAAGACTGTCATCTTTATAGACGCAGACTGCCTCATCTTTCTCCGATGGAGTGGCTAGTGGGTTCAAATCATAGTCCTTTTGGTTAGCAGCCAAGTGTCTTAAACACTGCATCACCAGAGTGCCTTACTGAAAGAAAGCCACTGTTAATATCTGGACTACTTCCTTCCACGTGTAAAGATTCAAGAGACCTTATCTTTCCAACATGAGTCAGCTGCCAGTTCTGTGTCACTCAAAAGTTTGAGTGCTCTGGTACTTAATGTCGCCTCTAGCAACATTCAATTCATACAGCGTATATTTTGTACGTGAAATCGTTTTCAGAAATGAGAATCACAATTGTGCATGGAAATTGGAGTTGTTGAAATGTTTCTTTGCCTGTTAATCCCCTTGCCTGGGCTTCCCGGACTTCCAGCAGGCATGTACTCCATGCTCACCCCTTTCTACCCCGGGGGCAGCCCGCGGCCCCACGCCACGTTGCTCGGTACATATCCCTCAGTGCAGATGGTTAGGATTCAAAGATGGTGTCAGATCCTGCTTGGGAACACTATCAAAACACACTGTCCCAGTACCGACACACACGACAATGTGGCCGGACCTCGGAAACGTGAAGCTGAGCGACATCAGTCAGACACGGAAGGACATAAACGGTGTGGCCCCACTGCTGTGGAGGAACGAGAGCGGGCAACCTGTGCGAACGGGTTTCTCTTTGGTCACCAGGGGCGAGTGGGAGGTGAAAAGGGGAAGTTAAGGCCCAGGGTTTCTGCTGAGGGTGATGGAAAAATCTGGAAACAAGAAGTGGGGATGGTGGCACAGCGTGAACTTAAGCCAGGTCACTGAACCCCACAGCAGAAACCGCTAAACAGCCAGTGTTGTGTTACGTGTATTTTACCACAATTCAACAAGGAAGAACCCATGCTATCCCTGTTCCATGCTGTCACTTTTTAAATGAAGTGAGTATTTTGTGTCCTCCTTTCTGAATGCACACATACACTTCATGTGTGTTTATCCAGTCATCTGTAAGGAGCCGTGGTGGCCCAACGGTCAAGTGCTTTGCTGCTGCCCGAAAGGTCAGCAGTTCTAAGCCACTCCACGGCTCCATGGGAGAAAGACGTGGCAACCTGCTGCCATAAAGAGTGCAGCCTAGGAAACCCTCGGGGACTGTTCTACTCTGTCACATGAGTAGGAATCAGCCTGAGGCCCCTCCAAGAAAAACCACATTCAGTACTTGTGTGGTCTCTGCTCCATAAGGTGCAGAGGTGGGGAACACAGGGTGCCAGCTGCAATTAGAAAGGGGACCCCAAGTGGGTACAAGTTCCAAGTGCACCAGACTGAAAAGAAACTCACTACCATCAAGTCAATTCCTACTCATAGAGACCCCTTTGGGTTTCCAAGGTTGTAAATCTTTACGAAAGTAGACTGCCTCATCTTTCTTCCATGGCACAGTGGGTTGGTTTGAACCACCAGCCTTTGGGTTAGCAGCCAAATGCTTTAACCACCACACCACCAGAGCTCCTTCCAAGTGCACCAGACTCCCAGAAAAGGGGCAACCGGTGTGGGTGAAAGAATGAAGATTTGCTGTGAACTGAGAAGGCTGAGAGAGGGTGACACAGTAGAGATTGGAGGCGGGTACTTGCCTCCCGTCAACGTGTATTAGGTGCCAACTGTGTGCCAAACACAAAAGGACAAATACTGTGATCCCATCTGTCTGCAGCATCTAGACAGGCAAACGTGGCGAGACGAACGGGGTGCCGAAGGGCCGGAGACAGCAACTCTGGGCAGGGGTGCTGGGAAGTGCCTGGGAGACAGGCAGAGACGTCTACAGGGTGGCCCTGAGCTTAGCCTGGAAGCCCACAGCCAGCATGGGCACAGGTCCAAGGTCTGCAGCACATGACCCGCCCCAGATGGGGCCATGTGACCAAAGGGGACAGGGGGCAGTGGGGGCTGGGAACGGCGTGAGGCTGCCTAGGACCCAGCCACTGAGCAGTGACCCACATGGAAGCTGAGGGCATCCACTTCTGAGTGTCACCCTGTTAACCTAAGTGTGGGAGCCAGGGCCACTAGAGTTTGGGATCACAGGGCAGAAGGAGACTTCCTGTGCCCCATCTTAAAGACCTTGTGAGCCACTAGGGGCATGAAGCACTCTTAGGGTCCCTCGTGGGTCCCCCCTTCTCAGAGCTGAGCTTCTCCAGCCCACCCTCATCTGCTGAAAGGGGGGAGCATCTGTGCAGTGAACAGTAAGCCTGTGCTTACTTGGCTCCTTGGGTACTCCAACCCTGGACAAGTTGGTAAAGCCCTAGCAAGGCCCTCTCCCAGCGTCTCCTGTGGGTCAGATGGTGGCCAGCATGAGTCACTCTGCAGCTGTGCCTGCCGGGAAACCCCTTCAGGGAAATTAGGGGACCCCTCCCTTATTCATGTGTTTCCTCTCTGGAGCTGGGGTGCCGGCCCAAGTCAAGCTGAGGGCTGTTGCCCATAGCTCCCTGGAATCCTCCCCGGAAGCGGAGGCTCAGAGCCCGGATGCTGCCTTCTAAGCCTGGACCAGGGACCCCAGAGCCCGGAGCCGGGTGGGGACTCTCCTGCACCTCCTCCACTTCTGCATCACCCTTTCCAGACGCCGAGTCCACCCCCCGAGCCTTGACTTTGCCTCCACCGTGGACATCTCACCCAGACCTCCTGCTTCCTGACTGTCCCGGGCCCCCACCGTGCCTGGCACTCATTAGCAGATCAGTAAAGTCTCTCGCGATACCGAATGGGGTCCATTCCCACTCCATCCTGCCTACCTCTGCTCCCTGCCTTCATCGTCCCCTCTGGGTCTCTGTACCAAGTTCTCAGCCTGGCCCTAAGGTGAGAAGACAGTGCCAGCCGGGCTGCCTAGCTGCAAGGCTGGGGTCAAAGAACAAGATTGCTGACACCCGGAGGCCACAGCTTCTCAGTCAGTCACCCACGCCCAGAGCAGCAGGGACCCATGCAGGTCTCTCATTCATTCATTGAACATCCACTGAGACGGCACTGCTTGTCAGGCACCGAGCTGGGAGTTCAGATGGCAGAGGTGAAAAGACGCCAAAAAGACAGTAACACCGAAAAGTGTGTGAGGTAAGTAAGCACCGACTGGGACAACACTGCAGGGACCCCCTGGGACCCACCCTGAGAACCACAGTCAGAGCCTAGCAACTATTCATGGGGACATCAATGAGATACTGAAATAAACCTACAGCAAAAGGCAAACCCAGTGCCGTTGAGTCGACTTCGACCCCTGGTGACCCCAGGTGTGTCAGAGTGGACCTGTTCTGCTTGGAGCCTTTTGGCTGCAGTCTTTGCAGAAGCAAGTCACCACGTCTTTCTTCTGCAGCACTGCTCGGGGGGCAACATTCAAATCACCAACCTTTAGGTTAGTAGCTGGGGACAGTTCTCTGGTGCCACCCAGGGACTATAACCTAAAGCACTAAGGACGTACTGTTCTCTATTTACAAATGACAGAGATGACAGCTAATTAGAATGGCCAGCTTCTATCGGGTACCCACTGCCTGGCAGTGTGCCTCAGTGAGCGTGGAAACGAGAGGAGACGGGACCGTTGAGGTGGTGGCCGCTTTAGGGGAACGTTAGCTGCCCGGAGACAGAAAAGTTCAAAAGGCACTGACCCCAGTGAAATAGCCAGTCAGCACTGGGACCCCCACCAGCTTCAAGCCCCATCCAAGAAGTCGTGTGCTCCACGCAGAGCGCTTTGCAGAGTCCCGCTCTCATCCATGCAAATCCCGAGGGAACGGCACCTGGCATTTGCATGCCGCTGGATGCTTCTCCCGGCACCTTCCCTGTCATTAACCTCGGACGCTGCCTTGCCTCCAGAAACAAATGGAAGGGCCGTCCCAGCTCGACTTCTCTGTTAGTGTCCCACTTCCCCCTCCAAATCCAGGGCCACCGAACTGCAGGTGCTTCTGGTGGAGTGGGGACCCTTCACGCATGTGACTGGCAGGGTGGGGTGTGCACACCTGGGAGCCTTCAGGTCCAGAAAACTTCCTGCCGCGTCAACAAGTTCAAGGGGGCCAAGCCCTCACCTGTCACAGACTTGGGGGGAGCTGGTCACCCATGTCTTCTGAATTGATTCCCTTCTAGCAAGTAGGGTTGAGAGTCAGGCCTGAGGCCTGAACCTACAGGCATGCGTGTCAACCGTCCCGCAAGTAGTGGCCCTGCTTTGCAGAAGGCTCCTCTGTTTTCTGTTTCTCTGGTAGCATAGTGGCTAAGACACTTTGCCTGCTAACCAGACGGCTGGCGGTTCAAACCCACCAGCCACTCCTCGGAAGGAAGGTTGGGCAATCCTA